CTCTCAATGAGGGGGATTAAGAACTGGCTGCGGACATTGGAGGCGCCTCATTGACACGCACCGGAATCCTTTCATCGCAGGAGGAGAAGAAGCTTCTCACCCCTCGCGAAAAAAAACCCAAAAAACTAATTTTCAAGCAAATCCAGAAGAAGGGACCAGGCTCACTCCAAATGGGATCAGGCTTCCAAATTCCGAGGGCTTAGTGACTCTGTGGTATTTGGTGCTTGCTTCGCGTGTGCCGCCGCGTGCTGTCTGCTGCGTGGGGCCTTGTTACCTGCAGCTTGTGGCCACGGAAGCCCCTCATGGGCTCGCGCATCCCCGTGTGTCGCAGGGAGAACAGGATAACGGCTCCGGGAGCAGGCAGCCCCCTGGCCCTCCCTGCCACCGCTGCGCTACCTTCTCTCCCAACTTTTACAGCGCATCCCCGGCACAGACGCTCCGTGTCATCCTCCTGAGTTCAAGTTTTGCGTCACGCGATCACCACGGGATAGGTCATCCTCTAGCATCTCATGTTTTTGTTGTCTTCGGCTGGGGAAAAACACTTTGCTGTGCCCATAACTCTGAGGCTTACCTGCTGGGAGGGCACCCGGGAGAGCTGTGGTCACGCTGCTTTCAGCAGCAGCAAGTTACGGGAAAATGAATATACATGTATCCTTCTGCCTCCCCTGTGAGGATTTGGTGGCACTTGATGGGCATGCGCCGTTGGTGGGACATAGACTTGTTCTGTTGTGCATCTGGGGGGTCACTGTTTGAGGAAGCCTGTGCTGGGGGTTGCTAGTGTGCTTTTATCTCCAAAATAATGTGGCTGGGGATTTTATTTAGTATTCTAATGTAGATGTGGCAATAGCAGCACTGAATTTAATAGCTTATTAGGCATTAGAAAAACAAGTACGTATTGAAATCAGGCTGGTCTCCTAAAATGCTAATGAATGCCATTAGACTTGGAGAGAGTTATTAATGTCTTCTCTTCATCACCGTGTCATGCCTTTGTTTGGCTAAAAAGACATTCTTGATTTTGTGTATGTATTTATTTCTGCCAGTGGGCCCCAAGCTTCTCGTAGTTGGGGCCTTTTAAGGCAATTTCTCTCATGCTGCCTTTGCTTTCTTGATGCAGGCGGTGCAGTCTGAGGAGCTCGGTGCTGCTGGTCAATGCGAGAGCAAGCCAGAACACGGGGAAGCCCATGAAGGGCAGGCACCGAGGTCTGCCGACGCCGAAGGAGACAGCAATGGAGATCTGAGCTGTCACAGCCTCCGCCTGCATGCGTACAGCATCGAGAGCATGACCACGGCGCAGAATGGCTGTGGAAACGGCACCACCCTGACTTGCATAGTTATGGATAAGAAAGAGCCCCCAAATCTCACTACCGCTGTTAGTCTTAATGGGGGATACAGCACCAGCAGTAGCCATGAGGAGGAGGTACAAGGTGATAAGCTCAGCCCTTCAAAACTCATGCGCTTCTTCTCAACCCCTAGGAAACGGGCTAATTCCAACTCGGAGAGGCCTCGTTCTCTGATTTTGATGGGCAGTTCTTCCACGTGGAATGCTTTGTCTTCCATTAGAAAAATGGGATCTTTCAAGAAGTTAAGATCTTCAGTTCTCCAAGGAATTCAAACTAGGGAATGTCCAGATATCTTAAATGAGAACAGCACAGGAAAACATGACTCAAATGGGGCAGTGGTGAGAGTACAGACTAACAGGTATTCCTATTCGGGGCCTTTACATGATTTCCAGGATGCAGTGGATGGTTTAGCTTCTGATTGCTCCGATGCCGAGGAAGGTGATGATTCTTTCCTGAGGAATACGCACCGCTCACGCAGCATCAGGCGGGCTTATGGTGTTGGCCGCATAAATTTGTTAGACACTGATAAAGCTCAGAGCAATCACAAATGTCCTAGGCCAACATCTCCTGCCGTCTCAGAGCCAAAGATCTGTGAGATTTTAGTGAAAGATTCTGAAAATAACAGGATCATCTATCGGAGAAGCAAAAGTTCAGACAATTTAAACTTCCTGAAAAAAAGCTCTTTCAAACGAAAGTCCACCTCAAACCTCACTGACCTCAAGGCAGCAAATGAAAAGCAAATGCCCCAAAGGACAGTAAGTGCTACTTCCGCTGACTCGGACAAAGCCAGTGGAAACGCTGAGAGACGGTCCAAGCGATGGAAGAGCCCTATCAGGGCAAAGGATTTTGACCGAGTTTTGAAGCTTGTAAGCAACGTTACGGATGTGGCATGGAAGAAGGATGGCCCTAAGAGCACAGGTCCTTCTCCCAGCGACCAGTCCCAGAGAACCAGGCCAAACAGCAGGCTGCACGATGACTATTCGCGTAGGGTTTCCAGCAGCACGGATCACGACAGGAAGAGGTGCACCTCCCCAGCACCGAGCCCCGACTCCACCTCGCCTGGGACACCTTCCCTGCAAAGCCCCACAGTTCCTGCTGGTACCCAGGCTGCAGTGAACGTGGCTGCCGCTGAAGACAGAAGTATCAGCGTATCATCAGGGATCCTAGATTCACCTTCTCCAATTGACATCGGTCCTCTCCCTAATGAAGTGTTCTATACGGACTCGGATGAACTGAAAGCTACTTCCCAGTTTGCATATGAAGCTGAAAATCCTCACGTTCCTGCCAGGCCAACTGCTCCTAAACCACAAAGCCCCAGTGCAGAGAAGGTCAAGTGCAATATGAATTTCCAGTGCCCAAACCACCACAGTACTTTGTCTCTGAGCTCGATGGAAAGCGAGGAGAGGATGGAGGTGCCTGGGCCAAAGCTGGGGAGGAATCCTGTTTGCTTCCAGGACTCTGTGCAGACCGTGTACTATGACGATGGAAATGAAGACAGTGGCATAAGCAGCCACTCTCAGCTGAGCCTCAACTTAGCCTCTGGTGCTGAAGAAAAGAAGGAAGAGGTAAGAAAGCGAGCGACCTCCTTTAGAAGTTATATGTATATGTATCGGGTTTTGTCTTTATTAATGCAGAACAATGCAAAACAACCTGGGAGCTGATGGATATTGCAGCTCGTTATCGGTAAAATATGCTGACAGCAATTATTTCTTTTAATATATTCTCTCTGGAAGCTAATGTCAAATTATTTTCCTTTGTGCATTAATATCAAAGCAAGTTTTGGCAGCAAAGCTACTCATGTACGTTTTCAAGGGCAGTTTATAACCCCCTGCAGTTACACCATCTTGTCATGTGGTCTTGACAGATTTTACCAGCCTAAGCAAGGTCTAGCTGTATTTCTTCTAGGCTGAAAGATCTCTAAAGAATCTGCGGATGCTAAAAGTGGTGTTGATCCAGCATATAATACATCTTCTGTAGAATCCTTGCAGGATGTGGTAATATTTGTAGAGCAGCACGGTGTGCAAGATACAGAATAAATCAACTACTGGGCTGTTAGCGGTGTTATCCCTGTGCCCTGATGGCCATGCTGGGTCTAAGCCATTTGGATGCTTGCCTGCATATTTCAAAAAGCAGTGCTCTACATGATGGGCTTAATATGTTGCCACTGACAAGCTGGAGAAAATGCCAGCTTTTCACTGTGCCTCATTTCCAGTTTCACGCTGTGAGTAGATGCTAGATGTACTGCAGCATCTCGGGGGCAAGTTCAGGGAATGAACCTGAATCTTCCTCTAAAAACACTGGGGAAAAAGCAGGTGGGTTGGCCCTGCAGAAGGTGCAATGATTTGTCAGTGCCAGTGAAGAACTGTCACTAGTGTCCTGCACGAGTTTAAGCGACCACGGCTCGCCTCAGGTTAGCTAAATGTATCTCACATCCCAGGTAAAATGAGAAAAAAGGCTATTATTACTCCTGTTGTTCAAACTTCAGCCTTTCATGTTGTGTAGTCTTACAATGTTTGTGAAGCCATCTTACCTTTTAAAGCTTGGTGTAGTTTTTACAAACAAAATGCAAACAGTTACAGAAGTTATAAATATTGTCATTCTGCTGGAGAAAACCAAGTTTATTTACTAGGATGCCTGCAACTACAGTAAAATTTGAAAAATATACCAAAATATTCATCTGGGTTTGAGTAATCTGCGATTACTCCTCATCTGGGGTCTCACAGTTGCCACAGCTATCTGTCTTTCTTTAAAAACTTACTTGAAGAGTATATGCAAGAAGATGCTTTTACATTGCCAGGGGAGCCCTAGTGTGCCAATTGGATTTCTCAGCAATAAAATGGGGAAATAGTTCCCTGGTAGAATTAATGCTACTCACCTACCATCTAGTGGTGATCTGTGTTCATGACACAATCAAGCAACATCCAGCTTGTCCCTCCCTTGCTCTCCCAATAAATCAGCACTGCCTTTCAGAAGTTTTTAAGTGGTTGCCTACACTGGTTGGAGGAAAATTTCCACGGTTTTAGCTTAGCACTGCATTCTTTTATTAGCCAGCATGGACTTTAACTCTCTCTTTCTATTATATTTTGGTCGAATTGTCAGGACATTGTATTGGTGCATCTCTGAGCTGTGGCCCTCGGGGGTATGGACAGGAGAGGGCTTTCTCCTTTCATTTCCTCAGAAGGTCTCCTTGTTCCAGGACTCTTCCCTGCATCTCTAAGCACGGGGGTACCTTTATACCAATGATTCCATCTCCTTATGCCCGGGTATTTTTCTTTTCACGGAAGTTTATTCAACTGCAGGCACTTCTGTGAATGCCACATATTCATATAATGACGCATCACGTTTCATACGTATTCTCTGTAAAAACAGCCTGTAGTGGCATATTCATATAATGAGGTCACTGGGGTTTAAATGTTTGAGAATGACTTGTTTTTAGCTCTATCTCACACTCGCATGCTACAGAACTGTTTGCATCCAGAAAATTGTTTTTGCGACAGTCATTCTGGGCAACCGTTTGAATGGTAATACTGAGGAATGCAAATCCAAAACTTAAGACCTTATTGGAACCTGAAATACATGATGTTCATGAACAAATCTTCAGTTTCCACATTTCACGCATCATGTTTCATATGTATTCTCTGTAAAAACAGCCTGTAGTGCAGCGCAGCTACTGAAAGCTCTGTGGCTCGGAGACCTGGTTTAATGCAAAGGTTCCAGTGTTCCAGTCAGGCTCAAACCTGCTCTCCTTTAAGGACTGGCTGCAGCTGGAAGCAAAACTGGTGAATTCCTTTGCCCCTTTATTTAGTAGCATAGTTGTCAAATGAAGTTTTGAGACTTTGCTAATATCTGTATATTCCCAAATGTGGAAACTGTTTCCATATTGCATTCCTTCACCAACAGTGTAAAGCCGCTTTTGCAGTATTCACGTATATATATCCATTTGCCTGAATTGCTGCTTTTTTTTTTTTCCCAATGTAATTTGGGCTTGAGATCCAATCCCCGCTGTTATTTCGTTGGCTTGTTTTGTTGGAATACAAGATGTACCGAAGCAGCGTTGGTGCTCATCCATCCCAGGCGCTGGGCTGCTGGAGGTCGCTTCCCAGCCAAGAGCCAACTGAAGGCTACAAGGGTCCCTGCCCCAGCTCTCCTCAACATGAGCTCTCCGGTGCCATGAGTCACCACGGGCTGCCACGGTCCATGTCTTCTCCAGCTTTGCTTCATGCCACATGCAACATGTTGGTTTTAAATCACACCAATTAAGTGCAATTTTTGTGTTTAGACAGTTTTTCTGTTGTCTTTGCTTTCCCAAAGAAGAGCCCCATATTTCTGTGAATCATGAAAACTTAAAGCCTCTGCTTTGGCCTGGCATGTGTCAGATGCTAACGTGACCTAAACAAACCACTCTGCTGAATGTGTTACAGAAAAGATAACCAGATTTTTTGATATATTGCCTAGATTGTCACAAGCTCTTAGAGCACCTGATATTTAAGTTGCCTTGTTGGCATCTGGCTTCATGGTACACCAGACTTTTTATAACTTTAATGCAGCACTGTATCTGCAAATGATAAATTTAAATTATAGTGGTAATTTAAGAGGTAACTGCTGTAATTAGAGTTGAGTCATATTTTGCTTGCAGACTGTATATTACGTCCTGTGAGATCTACCTGCTGACTTATTTATTATGTTCATGATATTTGAAAATCAGTAGCCCCAGTTAACCCATGTAGTGCCATCGCTGAAGCTCAGCAGTTTCCTGGCTGTCCCAACGCCCTGTCCCAACACACTGCTGGGCTCCAGCTGCTGCTCTGCTCATTCCCATGCAGGTCTCCAGGCTGGAGTGCAAATGGGTTAACTGAGGGAGAACTTGTGAAGGAAAGGAGAAAGAAGAGCTGTATGGATGGCATTTATGGAGACGATTCATCCCTATCCTCACTACTTATCCTCCCTACTTGCTTTGAAATATGTCCTCACAGTGAAGGGGAAGAGTGGAGAAGGCTGGGCATGATCATGTTAAATGCACACAGCATTTAACACACAGCAGCCAGGAGCTGAGAATGGGCATGCTTGGTGCATGATGCAAGTTCCCAAGCACTCCAGGACTAGGCATGAGCAGATTTGCTGGTGGTTAGCAGTTTTCACCTCTCAGAACTGTCTCTTTTTGGATGTGTTCATCTCTAGGTTGAGATCCTTTCCTTTCTCTGCCTTTCATCCAAAGGTGGATCCATCCACCTTTCTTGAATTAAAATAGGTGACAGGCATATAAAAATACAGGAGAACACTTCATTTTAGGGATATGGAGCCCATAATACATACAAAAAACCTTTGGAGTAGTTTTGGGATTGCCCAACTTCATCTGAATTTGTATAACTGAAAATGTGATAAACTGTGAAGGGTGATCGGGAAAAGTAAGTCAGGGTGAGATCTTCCAAAACTGAATTTCCTACTTGTAATTTCGAATAGCATCACTTAGGGCTGCCCTAGTTAGTGTTAGCAAGCCAGGGTCTGGGAAGGGAGCAGAGGAACACCGTGATCTGCTCTCAGCACCTTCCCGGAGGGCCAGTGAACATTTCATTCAGACTGAGTGACAC